TGAGAACTCTCATGGCTAGCTATTTTACATTTTTACTCCTACAAGCTCTATTTCTATTTCCCATCCTGAAATCACTACTTTAAAGATAGCTCGGATGTATTTATACGGTCTGAGATCAACCCTCATATCCATCTGTTATGAATCCATTACTGCCTTCCTAGCTGTCAGTTACGTTGCGTGTCTGGACGTTCTTTCAATTTTCCTTTGCATTTCTTTGCACATTCATTTGACTAAAGATAGTTTAAGCCCCTTGCTTATATAACCTTGCATCAGGTTCCCCTTAGCTCACTTGTTTTTGTGCTGCTGAAGCTATATTCAATTATAACTGGGTGACTATATTGCTCAAATGGCATTTCTTAGGCTAATCAAGAACTATTTTGGTTACTGTGTCTTCCAGTAAGTTTTCTTCATTACCACATTTTATGTGGTAAAATGTGATTTTTGGAATTGTCGTTTATCTTTTTCTGGTATCTATGTAAGAATTCTTTTTTTAGGTAAACATAAAGTTTTAATTTCAGACTGGGACACCCAATTGATTTCCTGTCAAAACAAATAAAATCAGATTGTAAATCAATCTGTGATTGTAGCAGCAACAAAGCAGGATGTCCTACAAAGGGCACTCTTTTCACTCTTCCACGTTCTCTAAACACACATAGGAGTTTTACTCTCACTTTATTCATGTGAAGAACTGTGGACTTTACATTTTCCCATATCTGCCCATGTAATCCAAGTTTGCTACTAATTTCTTTCTTTGATCTGTTAGTCACTTCATTTGACTTACACTCTGTAGTCATTAACTCTGATATTTTCTTCCTTGAGAGGAATCTATCTCCTGTTTTTCACATACTGCTGAGTTATGGGTGCTTTCTCCTGAAACCTCCACCTTTAGATTTCTAACTTGTAGGACATAACATTTTACACATGCAAGACCGCTTTCTAGCAGTGTGCCAAACATTCGCAAGCTCTTTCTTATCACTAACTTTCAGAGTCTCAAAGGTAATCAACCTACTCAATGACTGGATTTGCTGGATGTTTTTCCCCTGAATCTAACTGCTATAATACTTGTATTATTATATCAAATAAAAATTCCAGAGTGCCTTTAGCTGCAAATCTTAAAAGTCTTAATAGATACAGTGGTGACGTAGGGGTCAGCCTCTTCTCCCAGGTAACTGGTGATAGGACAAGAAGTAATGGCATCAAACTGTGCCACGAAGATACAGTTTGCTTGTTAGGAAAAATTTATTCTCTGAAAGAGTAGTTGGGTGCTGGCATAGGCTGCCCAGGGAGATGATGATGTTACTGACCCTGGAGGTGTTCAAGATCTGTGTGGATGAGGCACTGAGGGACTCAGTGGGTATGGTGTGATGGATTATTAGTTGGACTAGATGATCTTAATGGTCTTTTACAACCTTAATGTTTCTATGATCAAATGATTCTGTAACAGATCAGCTTCTAGTGCAGATAGGACCAAAGCATGTGACAAAGGTAGCCATGAAAGACAGTCTTCTTCTCCTATGTAAGTATGTATACATTTCTACATAAGCATTCTTAATGCATATAGTGCGTGATTTACTTTCTTCATGGCGGACCTTGGTATCTTTTAAAATTTCCCTCTGTAGGCAAAAGTTCTTTTCACATGAGGAAAGTAACCAGAAGTGAAAAAAGGAGAGCACTATTTGCATTTTCTTTAAATGCAAGGTGGTGTCAATTAGCGGTGGCTTCAAGTATAACTCTACTAACATTGGTAGAGATACTGAACTTCCAGCTGAAGTTAATGAACTTATGCAGGTTTATTCAGTCAACTTGAGAACAATGTCAGCCTACAGTGTCAAAAGTGAAAAACTAACCTTATTAGAGATACTTTTCCTTTCTTCTCCTATGCTGTGGTTCAATTTAATTTAATCTACAGATAATAATGAATGCAAGCATTCAAAAATAAGTATCGAGATTGTCCTGATTCAGCATGCCGTTCCTCTGTATGTGATCTAGCAAATAATAAAGTGGAAATACCACTGACTTTTCTGCCTCAGACATCACCATGAATTGAATGTTTTTCTTTACTGCTCAGCTCAAGCTGCAATAGGAAGTACACTGAGGTTAGTAAATAGTTCAGCCCAAATTTATGGTTCACTAACTGGAAACTGCAGATTTTCTGAGGTTTCTCCAAGTTCAAGCATGCTTGAAGTATTATCTTGCTACATGGCACAAAGTGTTCTGGTTGCCCTCAGTAACCAAGGGTTCTTCTGTCCTCCTGACCATTGCTGTTGTACCACTGCTGTGCAATATGTTGTGCATTTGTGTGCTGCCACTTCCACCCTCTGGATGCTCTAGAAACAGGGCAGGGAGATACAGCACTTACCAGCTAGCACTCAGTACTCTGCTTTGTATATCTGATACACCTTTCAAAGGACAATGTGTTGTCAGGAAGTAATCTTGGGTTCACTCTTAATTTCATGTAGTTAAGATAAAAAGAAATCGAACTTTTTATTCACAAGATTAAAAGTAAGCAACACAATAACAAAGATTTACATTCAATGGAGATGAGGAAGTAAAACATTTAAACTAGATATAGTTTAAATTCACTTTACTTACATCTGATTTAATACATTATGCTGGACGTCAAGACTTCTGTGCTGCTGTATATCTTATGCTCATGTTACAGAATCACAGAATTGCAGGGGTTGGAAGGGATCTCAAGAGATCACCAAGTTCAACCCCCCTACTAAAGCAGGTTCCCTACAGTAGGTCACACAGGAAGGTGTCCAGACAGGTCTTGAATCTCCATAGAAGGAGACTCCATAACATCTCTGGACAGCCTGTTCCAGTGCTCTGTCACCCTTACTGTAAAAAACTTCTTCCACATGTTTGTATGGAACTTCCTATTTGAAGTTTTAGGCTGTTACTCCTTGTTCTATCACTATGAACCAACGAGAAGAGCCTGGCCTCATCCATATGCCTCCCACCTCCTTTAGATATTTATAAACATTGATCAGATCCACTCTTAGTCTTCTTTTCCCCAGGCTGAACAATGCCAGGTTACTCAGCCTTTCCTCACACAGGAGATGCTCCAGGCCTTTCATCATCTTTGTGGCCCTCTGCTGGACTCCTTCAAGGAGATCCCTGTTGTTTTTGAGCTGTGTAGCCCAGAACTCGACAGAATTGTCTAAATGTGGCCTCACCAGGGCAGAGTAGAGAGGGAGGATGACCTCCCTCGGCCTGCTGACCACACTTTTTTAATGCACTTCAATGATACCATTTGCCTTCTTGGCCACCAGGGCGCTCTGCTGGCTCATGGCCAACTTGCTATCCGCCAGGACCCCTTCTCTGCAGAGCTCCTCTCCAGCAGATCATCCCCTAACCTGTACTGATGCATGCAGTTGTTTCTTCCCAGGTGCAAGACTCTACACTTGCTCTTGTTGAACTTCACCAGGTTTCTCCTTGCCCAGTTTCCCAGTGTGTCCAGATCTTACTGAATGGCAGCCTTCTATTGTGTCAGCCACTCCTCCCAGCTTTGTACTATCAGCACACATGATGAAAGTGGACTCTGTCCCTTCATCATTGTTGATGAATGTTACATCACTGGAAAACCCCTTTTCTGATGTGGCCTGTTACCTTTTATAACTAATGTATTTTATAGAGTATGAAGTCTTCCTGAGGAGATTTAATCTAATTCCACAAAATTTATTTTACTTACTCTTAATCCAGGAGATGATCTTGCCAGTAAAAAAATAATAAATAAGCATTGTTTTATTTCCCAGAATATCCAGATGCCTCTTTTTCAGACTGGAATGCATCTGCTGTATTTATGAATCTGACAGTTTTGTCCTGCTCCCGCTATGCTAATATTAATGACTGATGAAATGAAAAAAGAAAAAGCATATTTGCTTTTAGTTATTACCACCATTGTGATCTAATTCCCACCTTGTTCAACTTCTTCATCAGTGACCCGGATGAAGTGCTTGAGACTACCCTCAGCAAATACAGAAAGCTGGGAAGAGCGGCTGACACACCAGAAGGCTGTGCTACCATTCAGCAAGACCTGGACAGGATGGAAAGACAGGCAGGGAGGAACCTGATGAGGTTCAGCAAGGCCAAGTGTAGAGTCCTACATCTGGGGAGGAACAACTGCATGCACCACCACAGGTTAGGGGATGACCTGCTGGGGAGGAGCTCTGCAGAGGACCTGGGGGTCCTGGCAGACAGCAGGCTGGCCATGAGCCAGCAGTGCGCCCTGGTGGCCAAGACCAGTGGGATCCTGGGCATTAAGAAGAGCCTGGCCAGCAGGTTGAGGGAGGTGGTTCTCCTCCTCTGTTCTGCCCTGCTGAGGACACATCTGGAGCCCTGTGTCCAGTTCTGGGCTCCCTGGTTAAAAAAGGGCAGGGATCTTCTGGAAGGAGCCCAGTGGATGGTGACAAAGATGGTGGAGGCCTGGAGCATCTCCTTAAGAGGAAAGGCTGAGAGAGCTGGGACTGTTCGGCCTGGAGAAGTGAAGGCGGAGGGGGCATCTGATCAGTGCTTATAGGGCACCTCGTGTGGAACTCAAATGGGTGGGGCCACTCATGGCAGTACGTAGCAACAGGACAAGGGGCGACGGGTAAAAACTGGCACAGAGTTTGGAAACAGTCCCACAAGGACACGAGGAAGAACTTCTTTAGAGTGAGGGTGCCAGAGCACTCAAGACCCGCCTGGACGCGTTCCCGTGACCCGCTGCAGGGAGCGCGCCGCGGCTACACGGCCCCCCCTGCCGGCGGCAGGCACTCACAGCCGGACCGTTCTTCACGGTGCGACGGCAAACGGTGGCTTTAAACCTGCCTTTACAAAGACACGAAGGGGGGAATCTTTTCTAGCCACAGCCTACCTCCGGCTCAAACCGAGCACTTCCGCGCAACCGCCCGCCTCGCCTCAGCCTTCCGAAAAGGACGGAGAGCCGCAGCAGCCCGCGCGAGGCCACGCCTCCGGACGGCGGGCGGGAGTGGCCGAGCACGCGCAGCGCAGGGAGCGTGGCGGCCGGGCGGCGCCGCGATGTTCGTGGCGCGCAGCATCGCGGCGGATCACCGCGACCTCATCCACGATGTCTCCTTCGATTTCCACGGGCGGCGCATGGCCACCTGCTCCAGCGACCAGAGCGTCAAGGTGGGCGCGGCGCCAGGCGGGCCGGGCGGCCGCACGCGGCCTGCGGACGGCGCGGCCATGGCGGGCGGGGCCTGAAACCGCGGCGCACGAGTAGCCTGCGCGAGTCCCGGCTGCGGCACCGCCGTGCTGCGGGGCTGCGCTCCCCTTATGCGGCCTCATGGGCTGCAGCTCCGGCCCGGGCCGCTCCCGTGTGGATACCCACGGGCTGTGCCTCCTTCAGGCCTCATCCGCCGCTGCCCCGCGGGCTCCTCCGTGGCTGCACGGGCAGATCTGCTCCACACGGTGCCCACGGGCAGCAATGGGACAGCCTGCTCCTTTGTGGGCTTCTCCTGGGCTGCAGGGAGCTGCTGCTGCTTGCCTGGAGCTTTTCCTGCCCTCCTTCTGCACTGACCTTGGTGCCTGCAGGGCTGTTCTCTCGCATCTCTCACCCCCCTCTCCCCACTGCTGCTCCATGGTGTTATTTCCCTTTCTAAAATCTGCTCTCCAAGAGCACGCCCAGCATCACTCACGGCTCAGCTCTGGCAGCGGTGGGTCCCTGTTGGAGCAGCTGGAGCTCTGAGCTGACATGGGGCACAGCTGGGCTCTGCTCACAGAATCTGCCCTGCAGCACCCCAGTACCAGAACCCTGCCATGGGAACCCAGTACACAAGCAGACAGCTTCTCTCTGATCACAAACAAAAGAAACAAACAAAACCAACAGCAACAGGAAAAAAGAAAAATCAACCCAGCCCCAAGGAGTAAGCCAACAGCCTTTGATCAGACCGAGAATATAAAACTTGAAGCCTGAAAAGAAAGACAGCAAGATTTAGGTAGAACTTAGAAACCACACCTTTAACAATATAATGTAGCTTTCCAGTTACAACAGTTCTTTATGAGATTCTTAAGAAGCTTTACAGCCATATTGTATTTGATGTACATCCCACTCTCAGCAAATGGGCCCTGCAGAACAGCATTTGCAGCGTTTCATGCTGACAAGATTCCCTCACATCAGGCTGATAAATTGAGAATGGGAGGCTACGTTACTTGTGTGTGGTTCATAGATCAAGTTAGAAATATTAGAAGCAGCAATAAGATCTTTTACCCACTTTGTAACGCTAGATTTGTTTTGTCTGCTGTCTTGCTCTGCCTTGCAGTCACACTCCACAATCTCTGTAGGTCCTCTCCAACAGAACTCTTCTATTCTGTCCGAGGTGATAGCCAGGAGCCACATCAGGGTTTGGGGACCACGTCTGAGCTTGTACCACGGTGAAGACTGCGGTCTGCTGCAGTAAAACAAAGTGATTTGCTCCTGGGATATAATGTATTGAACATGGCCATAATCTGTTTCCTTGCAAGTAATATGTTGCTTACAAATGACAGACTTCACATGATGGTGGATTTTGCAGGCATGTGCCTGTCCTCCACATCTGTAAGAAGGATATTTTCAAAGTTAATCATAGTGTAGTACTGCACCAGGGAGATTTCTCCAGATGAAAACACTCAGTAGTGACTTTTTTTAGTGGCTGTGTTTTTTGTTACTACCTGTTGCACTTACATACAAATTATATGATTGTCTTCTGATTTTTCAATAGGTCTGGGACAAAAGTGAAAATGGGGATTGGCATTGCACTGCAAGCTGGAAGGTTTGTATTAATAGTCATTACACAGTGATACTGTTATTTCTCTCTCTTTTATTTTTTGGTGGAGATATATTTTCACACAGCGGTAGTGTGTGCTTGAGGAGTTGGAAAACAGTACTTTAGCTTTTAATGGAATATTTTCTTGTTTGTATTTTCTTGGCTGTGGGGAGAAAAAGGAATAGGAATGGCTTTTCAACATTGTAACTGACCTCTGTGTTTTTCACCCATAACCTTTCTGAGAACTATATATGGAGTCTGTAGTTGATCAGAGTAATTAGTGCATTCAGCTTCTGACTTATCCTGGAGCTTGTATATAACAGGACCACAGTACAGTAATCCCTATAAAAGAGAGAGCAAGTGAAGCTTTTATATTCCCTTTCTCTAGCAAAAGCGGTGTTCAGTGACCAGGTATGAAAGAGGAGTTTGTTCTGAAGGACAAGCTAAGCAATGCTCTACACATGCTCTAGAAAAGTACAGGCGAGCTAGAAATGGGCATAGTGATGGTTGAAAATGTAAAACAGGGCTGCATCTCCTGTCAAGACAGAATCTTAGTTGGCAACTATTTTTTTGGAACTTAGGATTTTAAAGCAGTAATGAATAATACCTAGAAATGCTAGGTGAGATACTTTAGAGCTCTTACTTCTGCTTTACAGCAGGAAGTCACAAAAGTGTATGGAAAACCCTTCATGCTCCCTTGCAGTCGTGTGTTTCTCTGAACTGTTGCACTTTGTGTTATCTTGCAGACGCACAGCGGCTCTGTGTGGCGTGTGACGTGGGCCCATCCTGAGTTCGGGCAGGTCCTGGCCTCCTGCTCTTTTGATAGAACAGCAGCTGTGTGGGAAGAAATAGTGGGAGAATCCAATGATAAACTCCGAGGCCAGAGTCACTGGGTAAGATTTTAACATATAAATTTAGCTTTTACATGTGCCCAGAAAAACAGATTTGCTGTGCCTCATTGATTTGTTTGCTTATTGTAATGGGCTGAAGTTTTAAACTGTTTGAACTCCAGAATTACACAGAAGACATTAAGTTGTTGAAAATTCCATGTACTGGACATCTGAGTTTGCAACATATTTGCTATTTCTGAAACAGAGTTTTCTTCTTTAATGTGGTATCCTTGACTTTATGTTTTGTTAATTTGTGGCAATGTTCCAATGTAGGAGTACTTTCATGACATTTGGACAGACAGCTAAATGGCAACATTCAGGCCAGTTAAGCGTCACTTAATATTGGTTTAATTAGGTGTTCCTCTGCAAACCTGAATCCCATACACGATAGAACTGAAGTTGTAGGTATTTTGTTCTTTATTCATCTGAAACCATCCTGTGCCATTCTTTTTCCTCTTTGAGACAGTAGCTCAGGTTTGGAGAACAAAACATTTTGCTCAGAAGTAGATTTTCTGGATAGCGTTTCACAGAGGGAATTTCTATGTGTAAACAGATTTTTTTTGCAGACACTCAATCTTATAGATCTCAGTATACTGTTCCTCCGGTACTATATTCTGCCTTCAGTTATCTGCAATTTTCTACTTTCCACTAAAGCTTTCTAAGTGTGTGACTGAGCAGAGTCAGGTTGTTGGAACCTGTGGCATCCAGCGGGGTATGGAAGCTGATTTCATGTGCAGGAGGCTGTACTGATCTGTAGTTTTCAGGTCAAGCTCATGCTTTCTTGACAAGAAAAGAGAAAGCTTGGAACCAAAAGTATTTACTTCTTTTGTCCTTTTTCACTCTAGATAACTTTCCTATCAAACGTCTGCTGTATTCTCCCATTCCCTTCTCAGAAGTACTTGTTCAGACACTTCTGTTGGGAAATCCCCATGGTCAGTTTCAGTAGCACTGAGATTAGAAAGCAGCGTTGTTAGGGATGGCAGTTGATACTGTCAGCACTATGTATGAAGAGGACACATTCAAACTGCCTGTGGCCAATGCATTTGTATTTTATGCTTCTGTTCTTTTTTTTTCTTTCATTCTGAAGTTTAATCAAAACAACTTCTGTTGTTCTCAAAACTTTGATATCACAGTGTGCGTGTCCCTGCTCCAAGTGTGTGCAGTGCAGTGTCCATTTTTCTATTGAGTCTATCGATAAAGTTATTCTCGTTCTGGATGGAAGAAATACATGATGCTATGAAGTGGTGTTGTCAGACTTCCACTGCCTTCTGGGCAAGGGGAAAAAAGTCAACAAATTACAAAATGCATTTTTGATGGAGACATCCAAGAATTTCTGCCTTTCTTTTGCAGGTAAAGAGGACCACTCTGGTAGACAGTAGGACATCTGTTACAGATGTGAAGTTTGCTCCCAAGCATATGGGTCTTATGTTAGCAACTTGCTCAGCAGATGGCGTTGTAAGGATTTATGAAGCCCCAGATGTGATGAATCTCAGTCAGTGGTCACTGCAGCATGAAATCTCATGTAAGCTAAGCTGCAGTTGCATTTCGTGGAATCCTTCTAGGTACGTAAATAAAACCATAGGTTTTGCCTTATAACTGTGTAAGCAGAAGATCTGAAGAGTTAGTTCTGGAAGTGTTACAGAATGTCTTTTGTCCCATGAGGTTGTATTCCTAAACTTAATTTTACAAGCAGTAATTAACAAGCTCAAGAACTGCAATGTGCTTTTTTTGTCCCACAAAACTTACCTGAGTTTCCTAAGGAAAAGTGTTTATAAAGAGACCGTTCCCATGTTTTTGCTTCAGGAAGTTGTCACAATAGGTAATAATTTGGACAACTCTACAAGGACACGCACCCTTGGCAATTCTAGGAACCACAGGCTTTGCTAACACAAAGTCTAAGGGTTGTATTGTTCCTTTAGTTGTATTTTCAGGGGCTCAGTGATGTATTTAACCTACTTGGACAGAAAGAGATCAGAGGAATGCGATGGTTGGTTTATCCCCACCCTAAAGAATATATAAGTAATCTATCCCCACCATGAAGAATATATAAGTAATCTGTCCCAGAGGTTCAGAGTACAAGCTTTATCTCTACATCACCCTAGGAAATTGTGTTAAAAGTCGATTTAAAAACTAGTACTCATATATATGCTTACCTTTTGTAATTGGCTTTCCAAAACCTGAATGAAACCCTCCTAAATCAGTCACTGAGAATCATTGGATGCAGATTGTGCTATATTCCTTAAAGCAAGTATTTCACTGCAAATGCTTAAATGAATTTAATCCTGATGTCTGGGAGCATGTGTCATCCTGAACGAAATTGCCAAATTGTGTTCCTTAGTGTTTTATCTTTATTTGTTGTATGAAGTAGACATTCAAGACAACAGAATTGAGGTAGTACTGATAACTATGAATAACACTTTGTATTTCTTTCTAGGCAACCTTTTTGTTTTATTTACAAATATGTCTTAAATTTTGGAGATGGCTTGTGAAATAATTATTAACAGAATTCACATCTTTTTACTTCCAGCTCCAGAGCACATTCTCCGATGATAGCTGTAGGAAGTGATGACAACAGTCCAAATATATTGGCTAAAGTTCAAATTTATGAATACAATGAAAATACCAGGTATGCTAAATAACAATATATGTGGGATCTTAGAATAGCTTGTGAATGTCTGGCCTTCTGTTTCATTCCTGTTGTTGCTCATGAAGTCATGAAGAGGAGTGGGAAATAATACTCCTCGCTTTTGTCTGCAAGACTTTGGGCAGGAGAGACACCTCAAAATGCAAACAAATGTCAAAGAAAACGGCAGATTTTTATAGTTTTGTTCTATCTCAGTACAGAAATTCCAGTATTCTACTGGCATTTTAAAGGGAGAGTTGCTTTTATGCTTCTGAAAGTTTCTGTGCTTAGTTTTGCACAAGGAATCAGTAGGACTAAAGTTGGAAGTTTGAATTATGGCTGAACTAGAAACTGTTTTGTTCAAGGTAACAATAAAAATGGTTCTAAGATCATATTTATAGTGATAGAAAGTCCTGTGAGTTTACTACCAGTCAGTAGCAGTTGGGAGTTAAGTTAGGAGTTCAGAACCAGAAAATGCACGCAGAACCACTTTCAATTAGTGGATGACAGATTGTGTTTCATTCAGCTTGACTGCTGTGTGAATGGTTCCAAGGTGTTTTGTGAGCTTATTCCTGACTTCACACTACGTTCTTTGTGCATTAACAACACAAAAATTTGTTGCAACTCACCCTGTGGTAAATAAGAAAATGAAATATATTGCTGTACAGCAAAGGAGGCAGGTAGTAGCCTGCTTATAAGCACAAGCTATTTACTAAGTTTCTGGAGTAGAAATTCCTCTTCAGATTTGTGAATGAAGGAATTTTTTACGTTTTCTTCCATCTATTGACAGAAATGTTCTTTGTACAGGAATCTGTGCTTTGTTCTGTGATTTACTATTACAATCAGATTAATGCTTGGAAGTGGGATACAGGAGTGTAACAGCAAAGGAACCAGCGTGGATAGGATGGTATTTCAAAGGAAAAGTAAAGGTGCTCACCTGCCTCTGAAGATCTAGGCTTGTAGGGAAGACTCCACAAGGGAGAGACATCCAATCAGAGATTCTTCCCTAGAGGCAGTCAGCCCTTAAATGAGGTCTAAGAGAGATGCAGCCAGGCTCCACCCCTTCCAGTCACACAGCTGAATTGCCTTCACCTGTGCTCCCAGAGCTAACCCAGTCCTTTCCCCAGGTGATCATTCAGTGGTTCAGGCCATGACTTAACAGTTCCCTTGCGTTTAGTGTTATGATACTAGTAGTTGATGTATCTGTTGTATTCACTTTCTGAAGAAATCAGCTTGTAATTATTAGTTGGAATGTAATTTATGTTAAACAATTACAGCTTTGCATTGTCGTGTATCCTGACTAACCCCCTTTTCTCTGTTCTGTTCGCTTTACGTAATTAGTGGCCCTGGCAGTTTTAGTGGCGCTAATGGTTAATTTTTCACACCCTACAGGAAATATGCAAAAGCAGAAGCTCTGATGACAGTCACAGATCCTGTGCACGATATTGCATTTGCTCCAAATCTGGGAAGATCCTTTCACATCTTAGCTGTGGCAACCAAAGATGTACGAATTTTCACACTAAAACCTCTAAGGTGAGCTTAAAAGCAAGACTGCAACACTGTTCAGTATGATATGGTACATACTGTAGAGTCTTTCTTAGTAGTATCTGAGATGCAAAGGATGTAATTAAATTTATTTTAGCAGCCTGTTTTTTTAAGATGATAAGATTGTGAGCAAAACATCAGTTCTGTCTGAATATCTCTTTATACTTCTAATCTGTTATACAGCTAAGTACTTTTCTAGAAGGATATAGACATCTTTTTGTCGTTGCGTTCAAGCCAGAACTTGGAGCAGTTGTGTGCAGAACTGTCACGTCTCTCTTTAACAGGAAAGAATTGACTTCATCTGGAGGATTAACAAAATTTGAAATTCATATCGTGGCTCAGTTTGACAATCACAATTCCCAGGTGTGGCGAGTCAGCTGGAACATCACGGGCACAGTGCTGGCCTCCTCCGGCGATGACGGCTGTGTTAGGCTTTGGAAGGGTAAGAGCTCTGCGGGTCTCCTGCTTGAAGTGCATCGGCTTTGTGCCACGCTGAATGTATGGGAGGAAGTATTTTTGGAGTGAAAGGTTTTTAGATCGGTGAATGATAGGTTTTTGCACTGACATTTCAGATAAAAGGAAATAAGGTGCTGGAACATGGGACTGATTGAAGTTTCTGCAAATAGTTGTTACTGTACTATATTTGGTAATCTCAAATCTCTTGTTTTACCAGATCACATCTGTGTAAAATTGTCGCCATTTAGAACTAACTTGTATTGAGTTGTTGTCTTTGCCTGCTGCCAAACCCAGAAAAACTGTATTCTGTTAAAGCAGCACTCAGGCAATCTGGCTTTTTTTTTCCCCTTGAGCTTTTTCATATTTCTGTTTAAATTTCAAGAAGCAGCAACAAAACTCAGTGGCAGTTTCCTCATCCATTCTCAGTAGTTTCTCAGCTTTTTATTAAAACTTTATTAAGGACAAAGCAAACCCACTCTTACTACAGAACAAAACCGAGGTTTAAATAACGGATAGGCAGAGAACGCCAAGCAGCTAAAGGACCACATATTCACCTACTCAGAATACATATGTTGATGCTGAAGTACAATTCTAATTCACACCAGACGCCTAGCAGTTGAAGTATCATGACTGTACCAAAAGCTGAGTTTCAGAGTCCAAACTAACAGTTTCTATCTGCGTACATTTGCAGCTAATTACATGGACAACTGGAAGTGCACTGGTATACTGAAAGGTAACGGGAGTCCAGTCAATGGTAGTTCCCAGCAGGGAATTTTTAACGCCTCTCTAGGTTCAGCCAATACAAGCCTACAGAATTCACTAAATGGATCATCTGCCAGCAGGTAGGCTAACTGGTAAAGAGACTGGATCTCAGCAAATACTTTCTTCTCTGAATCTTCGTTTCACTTTGTTTTCATGTCTTGTATTCTTTTAAAGTGTGGTGTCATTTATTGCACGAATACTCCTGCAAGCTGTTCTGGCCTTGCTCTGTGTTTGTGTCTGTTACACTGGTAGTAAGAGGAATTACCTTATCAATAAGCAATGGTAGCAGTGGTTTTTACTTTTAGTTTTTTCGCTTTCTTAAAAAGTCTTTCCTGAAGTAGTTTTGATCCAGGAGAAAATTGATCGTACTGCTCTGTAACTGCCATTTAGATGCATGTATAAAAGTTAAGCAAAAATACCAGCAACAAATTCTGGTTTTGACTGGGACAATGCAGCAGGATGGAAGGAGGAAAAGACACTTTATAGCATAGGACTTCAACAATCATAGGCTGGTGTTTGTTCATTTTACTTGCATTTTTGCAGGTGTAACATCATTTGAGTAAAAATTTTGGGTTTTCTTAATCTTCCTTATTCAAATGGAATTCTTACTGCTTTCTAAATTGTTTTTATTCTTTAATAATTGCTACTAAATAGGTAAATTAAACTGCCTTAACCAAAACCAGTTTTTAATTTGTGTACACTAAACTCTAGAAATTACTGGGTCCTGCACTTGTAAGGTGAAGTGAGTACAGTGCTTTACAGGATGTGTGCTGTATAAGGGCTTGGTGTGACCAAATTCCACAGCAGAAACTTCCAGGTTATTTAGCCAGCTTTATTTGTTTTTCCCCAGATGCCTTCATTTCCATCCATGTACAGCTACCAATACGAATATTTTTCTTTTAATTTAAAATGCTCATCTGTGAAGTACTAGAATAGGTTTTGGAGTGTTGCTATTCCCCTTTCTACCACCCCTGGGCGGTTCTGGCAGTTCAGGATGGCAGTTCTGGCTTCCAAATCCATAGCTCCATTGAAGAGAGAAGGGCATTCACATTTCCTCACAAGATAAATGGAAAGCAAGAGGTGATTATGGGACAAGCCTTCAAAAAGAAAGGAAGCCAAAATTATATTGGTCGTCTGGTTCCAATTGCTACCTATTGTGTAGCAAAAAGTGCAGGAATTATTCCCATCTTGGACATGGGATATCAAACGCTATGCAGCTGTAAGTGGTTTGGACTCCTGCAGGAAGGAGATACAGGCCATTTTATACCTCTTCAGTACGGGGGTGGATCCATAATCTCCTAATCTGAGCCATACTGCCTGAAAGACACCCAAACCCCACTGCAATGGTGGTGGCTCTCTCCTTTATGTTGATAGGAAGCCACCATGAAACTGAAACTTGTACTGTTGTTTTAGACTTCCTCCATTGCTCTGTGTTTTGAAATTTAGATATTGGGACTCACTTTTGGTTACAGAATGAAGCCTATGGCTGTGGAATTTTAAGAATATGTCCTAGGATGGGACATATTCATAGTAAGGTGCACTTAACGCGTTTTCTGTTTTAATCATGTTGGCATGAACTGCGAAAACGTAGTTGCTAACTTTTTTTTTAGCCATTAACATTTTTAAAAAAGATTTATGTACTGACATTTGACTAAATTGGTATGCTACACGATCTACTTCGACTGTAACCACAAACGTGATGTTTTGGTGTTCATATGTTTAAACATGTAAGGTAGCTAAGGCATAGGTACATCTGGATCTCTGGAAAACTGCTAAAACACGGTCACCAAAGTGGGTTCTCAGCCAAAATAGTTTTTAAATGGATGATACAGGATTGTTGGAAAAGAGTTGGCAGGGTGATACTGTTATGCTGATATAATTGTATATGTCTGGATTTGTGATACAATTTCCCTTCTCCATCTGTATTATGTCCTTTTTAACAGAAAGCAGAGCTGATACCAAGCTAACTGGAGTAACTTTGATGTTTTGCTGCTTGTTGCATGCACACAGGAATGGAAAATGAACTCCTTTTTCCCCTCCCCAACGCCGTTTGACCTCTCCCAAGACACCAGCAGCCTGCTAACTACTAAACGCTATTCCAAAAACCTTTTTAAACTACGTTGTGTACTTTTTTTGTACTAGGCCGCACAGTTTGATACTGTTGAAACTCCTGATAGAAAAAATACTAGGAGAGGCTTTTTGTTTAAAAAAAAAAAAAAATCAAAAGAAAAAAAACTTCCATCAGAACAGTTTCTTAAAATAACTTGTCGAGTGAGCCAGTTCTTGAGCAAAACTGAAAATCTTGTCCTTGGTTGGGATGGGAGGAGGGAAGTGACCATTAAAGTAGCTTTCATTAAAATTGTTTTGATAACTGCTGTGTTTTACATTTCATGGTGTTTAACACTTGACTGAGATTCCTTAACATCACAAGTTTGTAACTGCTTTGTAATATATGCAACTGTTAGTTTTAAAGGAAAAATTGTGCTTTGACAATTGTACAGATGGTAGCTTTTGATAGTTTGGTATTTCTTCATTTATAACTTAGTATGACTTAAAATATGTTTTTTGTAAGTGCTGTCAAGCTTGCTTCATCCTGACTGGGACGCATATGTTTTCTGATGTGTTTGTATGTTCCTATGGCAATGATTCCATGCGTAACTAAAATTCTGAGCGTACTGTCCTAAATAATGCAAACGTTTGAGCCATATGAAAGTTGAAACCAAAATGCAGCATGTTGTGGATTGTCCGTAATTTCACAAGTGTACAGCTGTTCTTTTAGGCAAGTCCACAGAACTGTAAACAATATAGATAACACCTGTAGGTATCTAATGTAGTTATACTAAAACACACAAATATTACGGGTAAGTTCTAATAAAAATGGCAGAAAAATGACATGGAGTGCTGTAATTCTGAGTTCTGGATTCACCAGGAAGCTGAAATTGATCCTGAGTATTTTGCGGAAATACGTAAATAGACACAAAGATTGTACTTCGCTGAAAGCAGTTATCCTCTGTAAATGTATACTATTAAATTTAAACTACTGTAAAAGCTATACAATGTTTTTATGTCTATTCTGGAAGTCCCACGAAGTTCATCTGAGTTAGATGCATATGCAGAAAATGTACGTACCTGGTTTTTTAATGTATAACTTGTGTCGCAAATGGAGCGTTGCTAAAAGCTGTTAACATCACAGGAATTCTGGGAGAGTGAAAGCATGTTCATAGCTGTGTTATGAAATTCTTTTGATTTCCAAAGCAGTTTGTTCATTCTGCAAGATGGGTACTACAATTATTATTACAGCATTCTTTCTATGATTTTCAGGGGAAAACTTTTTTTCCTTAAAGGACAGTTTCCAGATTTGTCTTGTTTTGAATTACAAGCCTTGATTTCTGCTATTATGTTCTATTGGTTTTGGCATGGATATACTAAAGCTTTTTTTTTTTTGTTTTCCAGCATGTCTTTTCTCCCCTTTGGTTCTCCTTGTATTTACTGCCTTTCTCTTTTTTCTTGTTTTTGTTTTGTTTTGTTTTGTTTTGTTTTTGTTTTGGTGTTTTGTTCCTGTCTTAATTGTTTCAGGTATTTCTTTCCCCCTCTGGATTCCCCACGGGCTGGATCGAGATGGTCCAGTCATGCCCAGCTCCTTCCTCCTCCTCCTCTGATAGAGCACTCTTGCGATGCTGACACTGCCAACCTCCAGTATCCTCACCCTCGCAGACGATGTGTATCTCGGCCTCTTAATCTATTACCTGAGAATGAAGGGGTTTAACATGTTACTTTGAATAAACGTTGAAGGGCCTTATACTGATGGTTGTGAATGCTTCCATTTCTGGCTGCTTGTGTGTTCCTTCTCTCCTACAGAAGATTTTAAAAATTTGGGGTCTTCATGCATGTTTTGCAAAACAAACTGCAATATTTGGAACAGTCATTTGTGTGCATCAAAGGAACATGTTAATCGGTAGGCTTTCAACTGTGGCAACACATGCAGACGTGAGCCATGAGCTGCTAATGGAGTAGCCAACTTCAAAGTGCCTGCCCTGGTTTTTTTTTCTTTTCTTTTGTTTTTGGAATCAGTTTATTGTGACCTTGAATTTTTTCTTTTATATATTGCACTGAGAAATGTGAAATGTATTCTCAAAATTAAACATACCTTCAAGAAGTGGTTGAATAATTAAAGGATGATGTTTGATCAACTCGTAAAAGAAACAAAACCATTCCTGTGTATACTGCAGCAAAATGCAATTTGGAATGTTGGGTTACTTTAAAAAAATTTTCCATCTTGCTGTATAAATATTTAAATTTTATAATTGTGGTTGACTAATAAACTTATTTTAAAAGGTGTGTTAGTATGCCTTTTCTTGGAATGGTGTGGAGCTATTTCATAAGGTGGAGGTGGTGGAGTCACCGTCCCTGGCAGTGTTCAAGAGGCGCCTGGATGAGGAGCTACCAGAGATGGTTTAGTAGCTTGTGGTACTAATAGCAATGGGAGAGTGGTTGGACTAGATGATCTTGCAGGTCGTTTCCAACCTTGTGATTCTGTGATTCATAACCAGTGTGAGATTTTGGATTCAGATGTCTGTTCTCCTGTATTTGGGTGAAAGAAGCCATGCCAAGGGAATTGAGACTGTTCAGTCTGGAGAAAGAGAAGGCTCAGTGGAGACCTTATTGCTCTCTACAGAGACCTGAAGGGAGGGAGTGGTGAGGTGAGGGTTGGGCTCTTCTCCCAGGTAGCAGTGGTAGGATGAGGGAAGATTTAGGTTGGGTATTAGGAAAAAAATCTGCCCAGAAAGAGTGGTGAGGCAGTGGCACAGGCTGCCCAGGGAGGTGGTGGAGTCACCGTCCCTGGATGTGTTCAAAAACTGTGTGGATGTGGCACTGAGGGACATGGTTAGTGGGCATGGTGCGATGGGCTGACGGCTGTACCAGATGGTCTTACTGGTCTTTTCCAACCTTGATGATTCTATAAGTCTATTACATGACTATTTGGTTCTATTTTCAGAAGATTGGAGAACATTTTAGGTACATATATGTACCTTTATGTACCGATCGGCTAGAAAATGTTGAACTATTCCAGTAATTTAACACATGGGAGACAAGCTGTTATCACATACAAATTTTTCCAGTTCTTTGGTAACCTTAATAATTCTATGATTTCACGGTCTCGTTTCATTGTTTCTGCAATCCCCAGACCAGGAATATAACTTCAGGATAAGTGGATTGTAAGACCTGAATGACAGCAGCACTCTCCTGACAGTGATCAAAGTGATACGTGTGGAGAACAGGACCTTCTCACCCTCTGCTTACAAAACAACGTGGCTTTTATGCTTCAAAACTGAAATCAGACCTTCCACGGGCTGTATGGAATCTGCTTACTACCCTACCTCAATAAGACAAAGCGTCTCGCATAGCAACAGTACGGCACGAGTACATCGCTATCGCAAGCACCGCAACAGCGCTCCTGGGCCCTCGCTGCGAGAGCAACACCCGCCCCTCCCGCCTAACGGCCGCCGCGGACACCGCCGCGCCGCAATCCCCTCGCCCAATCAGCTCTCCGTTCTCCAACCTTCTACTTTCCGAGTGCCCCGACCGCCAATCGCTGTCTCTCACTGCTGCTCGCTCCGTCCTCCCCCATCTATTGGCTGAAGGCGGGGCGGGGCGAAGCGCGCGCGCGGGCTTCCCGCCAGGGCCATTAGGGGTGGCGTTCCCGCTGCGCTCCGGGTGAGCTGGGGGCAGCTTCTCGGCCCGCAGGGGGGCGCCGTGGTGCGGGGGGTCGGGCCGGCCCTAGCGGCGGTTTGAAGTTTTGGCGGTTGGGCGGCGTCCGGCGCTGGCGTTCGGCTCCTTCCGCTGCCCGCTCCCAGGAAAGAGGCGGCGGGACGCGGGGAAAGGGGTCCCGGCCTGCGAGCTGGTGAGCATGGGGGGCCGCCGGGTGCGGCTCGGGCCGGGTCCGGGGGGTGGGGGTTCGTGTGGAGCGCTGAAGAAGCCGAGCCGGGGCCTCCCGGCTCGAGCTGTGACGGCAGCCGATCGCGTCACGGAACTCGCGGCTCCCCAGGTGGCTCCTGCTGCTGTTGGGGCAGTGCCGGAGGGCGGTCTCGCTCCGAGCAGCTTTGCGGGCTAAATATAGGCTGGCACCCCGAGCGGCGTCGGCGCTGCGGCTGGCGGGGAACGGCTCTTTTTAGGAAGTCGGAGGGGGCGGTAACAGAAGCGCCCGAAAGGTTTGCAGAGGGGGAATTGTGATCGATTCTAAAACGTGTATGTGAGCCGAGCGGGGCAGTGGCCAAGCGGCACTGGCCGCTGTGTTTGGGCAGCGTTTGTGAAATTGTTACCGTGACGTAGGTAACCGTGTGCTCTTTTGCTTCCAGATGCTGCTGGACCAGGGCTGACTGTTGCCAGCAGGGTATTGCTTTAGGCAGATTGCGCAGCACGATGGAAAGCTTCCGAAACATTGCTGATGAGACCTTTCCCAGCTTCCTGGGCAGTTCACTGAATAGCAGTGCCAGCATCCTTGTGGAAAATGTCACCATCTCCTCCAACCCCGGTTTACCTGTTGCAGCGTCAACTGTTGCCAAGAACAAAGCAGGCCATGACAGCAGGTGAGGCCCTCGTTTAATTCTACTTAGTAATTCCACTTAATAATCTTACTAGCTGTCTGGTTTGACCCATTTAATTTGGAAAGGAAAAACTACCATCACTTATTATTACACTGCTTAGTAATCAGTAGTGGCTGTTTGTAATAGCAATGAAAAATCTGGGTGAGGTTTGTAACTCATAATGTAGTTAGCTTTCCATTAAAGTTATTCTTCAAAGGAGTAATTTGGCTTTTAGAATGAAAAGATAACAGTACTTGAAGGGAGCATGTAAACAGGAGGGGGAATGGCTGTTTATTAGGGTGGATAGTGATAGGACAAGGGGGAATGGTTTTAACTAAGATGAGGTTTAGGTTAGATATTAGGAGGAAGTTTTTCACACAGAGGGTGGTGACACACTGGAACAGGCTGCCCAAGGAGGTTGTGGATGCCCCATCCCTGGAGGCATTCAAGGCCAGGCTGGATGTGGCTCTGGGCAGCCTGGTCTGGTGGTTGGTGACCCTGTACATAGCAGGGGGGGGTTGAAACTAGATGATTGTTGTGGTTCTTTTCAACCCAGGCCATTCTATGATTGTATGAACAATTGAGCATAATTTCATTTTTTACCTTGAGTATACTCTAGCCATTCGGAGAATATATTTAAAAAACGTGGGTACTATGTTAACCTACCTAAATCTCTCACATTTTAGAAAGGTAATGTAAGTAGAGACACCAGCTAAATTTTAATACAATGTATAATGATTTGTTCAACAAGGGTTAAAACCAACAGTAACAACTGAAACCTTTGTTTATATCACTGCTGTCCCATGTGACTTTATATGCAGTAAGGTCAGACCGTTAAGGCCTGTCTTCAGAAGTGCGCATTCCAAAAGTGGCAGTAGCCAAAGAGAATAAGAACATGCTCGCTCTCTTAAGAACTTGAAGAGAAGGAGCCTCAAGAAAGACATTATTGCTCACTACAACTTGTAACTCCCTGAAAGGAAGTTGTGGTGAGGGCTGGCCTCTTCTCCCAGGTAGCAGCAATAGGATGAGATGGAATGGCCTGAAGTTGCACCAGGGGAAGTTCAGGTTGGATATGAAGAAAAATTTCTTCTCAGAGCAGTGAGGCAGTGGCACAGGCTGCCCTGGGAGGTGGTGCAGTCACCATCCCTTGAGGTGTTCAAGAACTGTGTGGATGTGGCACTGAGGTTCGTGGTTAGTGGGCATGGTGATGTTGATTTGTGATTGGACTGGACGGTCTTAATGATCATCCTTAATGAGTCTGTGATCCTATTTTCAGAAGATCAGAGAATGTTCTGGGTACCAAAACGTACCTTCTATACAGATTGGCAAGAAAATGCAGAACTACTCAAGTAATTCAACACGTGGGAGATTAGTGATTACCAAAGAACTGGAAAGAATTGTATTTGATTACAAAATAGAGATGCTTATCACAGCAATTGTGTTTTCCCTACCCACTCTTACAGGGTTT